GTTTTTATATTATCCATCAGAGAGTTCCATAATTTAGGCCCTAAGTATCTTATTGACTTAAGTCCATAAGTTGTTGTATTAATTACGACTTTAAAGTGTAACACTTAATGCATTTTGATCGCAAATCAATCTTATCAAACATTTTGAGAAGCTTTGCTCTTGAGCATATGTAAAGATGCGTGTGGCAAGCACACACCAAATTTGTTATCTGAACGGCCGCGTTCATTCAACAAGGTTTTCGATCGTCGACAAATCAAAAGCCTTGCTGTGCAGTAAAGAAAAATTGTTAGCAAGAAGTATTTACCAGACAAGAATTTTGCGTCATTAGTAAGATCTTTTAAAGATTTGCTCTGCGAATATAGACCTTCGAAGCAGCAAAACTGAAGACGAAAAAAGCAAATTTGTAGAAGAGGAAACGTGATGTCTGCCTCAGCACAAGAAGTTATTACCGTGGCGCTGTTCACAATCATGGTGGTGACGGATTGTATCGGCAACTTTCTTGTCATATGGATCATCCTTACCAAGAATAACATGCAGTCTCCAATGAACTACCTTCTGGCTAACCTTGCCGTGGCAGACATTATGGTCGGAGGCTCCATCGCCTCCCAGTTCATCATCAGCTATCTCTACACACACCCCACAGGTCTTGCAGGATCTTATTTCTGCAAGTTTTTTACTCGAGGTGCCATTACTTGGGTTGGAGGTGCTGCCAGTGTGTTCTCCCTTGCAGCCATCTCTTTTGACAGGTACTTCGCTGTCTTGTATCCATACTCCCAGACATTCAAGCTGAACCTCAAGAAAGTAAAAAGGATTACTTGTTTCTGCTGGATTTTTACGCTGGTACTGAACATCCCATTGTTTTTGATCCTCTACTACGATGAGAAAAACAGCCAGTGCATGGAGAAGTGGCCAAAACGCCCGAGTTGGTTTTCTAAGGCGTACAGTATCGTTTGGTTTGTTGCCGCAGGATGCATCCCCTTGGTCATCATGTTCTATTTGTACAGCAGGGTTATCTACAGGTTGTGGTTCAAACGTTCAAATCACGTTCCACAAGTTCCAGGAACCCAGCAAGCTGTTATGAAGGCGAGGAAGAGGGTCACCAAGATAGTCATCACTGTCAGTGTCCTCTACGGGATGACTTGGATGCCTTCCCTCACCATTTACGTCCTCGATAGATACGATATAGTCTACAATATCGGAGCAAAAGCCTTCACGATCAATTCCTTGCTTGTAACGTTCAACTCGTCCATCAATCCTTTCGTCTATGCCTTTCAGAGCGAGAAATTTCGGCGCCACTTAAAGGCATTTATTTGTTGCCCACGAATTATCATTAATCAAGTTGACGTCGGGAATGAAGGACAATTACAAGGGACACCGCAACAAAGCTAAAATATCTAAGCATTGTCAATAATAAAAAGCTTGTTTCAAGGCGTGAGACAACTACGGCAGAGCAAAGCGAGAACTGTAGTTGCAAGAGAAAGCTCAAAGGTTGAATCGGAATGTATAGAAGTTGACTTAGTTTAACGAGGGAGGAAAACCGAAATAAATAGAGAAAAACCCTCGAAGCATAGAACAGAACAAACAATGACATCTAAAAGATAATCACATACGACACCAAGTCCAGGAATCGAACGCTGGCTGCATTGGTGTTTGATGTGTTGCTCCTCTCTCCCTTGCATTGCCATCACCTCCTTGCCTAAAAATCAACATGTGATTCAATTCTCTAGAATAAAGCATCACTGGTACCGCTTTGTCGACCGGCGTCTTTTTGTCCAATTCTTGATTTACTACTTAACAATTATTCTCCGAAGGCGAAATGAATTATTCACTGAGCCTGAGGCGACTGATAATCGTTTAAGTATTTTTAACGCAAGTGAATTTAATAAATAACCGGGAAAGAAACAAATTCTGCAAGCGGCTCAAATCAGCAAACGAGCGTGCGCCCGTTATATTCACCTTTACTGAGAATATAGCAGCTAGCATATATAAGGCGTAAATTGTGATCAATAAGCGTGCCGTATTTGTTATATTCACTTGTGAATACACTTATTTCAATAAAGTTAGTCACCTGAAAAGCTACAAAGCAGAGACCGACAAGGATTATGGGTAGATACATTTTACATGTTTCAACCGCTTTGATAACTGTTGATGGACTTGCACATCTTCTATCAATACAGTCTCACCTCTCCTTTGCGTCCTCAAGCTGCAGTTTGTATCAAAAATGTTTTACTTGTTTGAAATGAATTGTTTCCCATCGTCCTCAGTGATCTCAGCTTTCTAGGTTTTTGGTGACTAACTTTATCGAAATAAGTGTATACTGCATATATCCAAGGATTGCTTCCCATTGGGAAATGCATGGCTCAACATTTGCCTTGTCTGCCAGTGTGTTATTTTATTTTCTCTCTTGCTGCCATCTATTTTGACAGATACTTAGCTTAGAGCACAGGGAGCCCAATTTAGATTAAAGTGAATGGTGAAAATAAAATCGGAAAAATTAAATAATAACTGAAAATAAAAAAAACCCACGCAATCCGTCTGTCATGCTTGTGCCCTTTGGGTCGTCTTGTCCGGGGGCCTCTCTTTATCAGTACACAGACGGGGTAGATATTTGGTTTAAAACAATAATATTTTCCGTCATAAATTAGCCCGTGTTGAGAATTTAAAATATTTGTCCTGCATATTAACGGAGTTCCTTAGTAGAGCCTCTGGAGCTCGTATTTTTTCCCTCGAAAAAATATTTGGCGCCAAAGTGTCAAAATTTATTTTGAAGGTGGTCCACGCGTGCGCATTGTTGACCAGGCTGGGCAATATGGTGGTGAGTACCAACATGGCGGATCAAATCCAACAGTTTGAGTCGCTGATTACTCAGCTTATGTCGCCTTCAAATGACATTAGAAACCCGGCAGAGGTAAGCCATACATCCTAGTCTTCATTTGAGCCTTTATTTTAGCGTTTTAAGCTTTAAATTTAGTTTAAACACTAGTGTTATTTCGCCGGTTTGATTTTCCTAATTCGAGTATTTCGATTCCTCTAACCCAACTTGTGAGACATGTGAGCCATAAAAAACTTGCTAGTTATTTCTTTTCGACTCTGATATAATATCTAACGTCTTATAAGTGTAATATATGACTTAGAAACGAGGAGATTTACTGTTTTGAAGCCATTGCTGAGCGCTAAAGAGCAAACATTTCACATCGGCAGCAAATCTCTCGCAAACACGTGTTTCTGAAATTCTTCCTGTAGCGAAGTGAATTTTCTCATTTTCGACCATAAAATAATCATAATTCCTATTTCTGTCTACATTTTTGGTGTATCTCTTTAAATTTCAAGGAGAAGACTTCAAATGACCTTTTTAGCTTGATATTTGTAATATTCAACTCAATATGTAGTATTTTAAACGTGTAGGAAAGCATATAAGCTATTTAAGATTGTTATTATAATGAAGATTTTAGACTATTTAGAGAAAAAAATGTTTAGTCTATCTATCTTTTTGAATAATCCACATTTTGTTTGCATTTTATTTACGTATTTTTATCATATATACAGGAAATTTACGAAGGTTTATTTAAACTATTAAAGCTTCTTTGTTTTAATATTCGTGTCTTATTAATAATTGTGAATATTTTATTCCATTTTTATGTTACATGATAATTATTCATTTTGATCTCAACCTTCTATTGTATTCCCAGCTAGCAGAGTCTCTCTTCTCTTTCTCTCCCTTCTTTCAGGCAGGGAGGAAGGAGACTCTGCCGATGTAGAGCGTTTTCTTTGATAGATCGTCATCCACACGATCCTGTTTTTAACCGATTACACGTAGTGCGCATGAGCAAATGTAACACACTGTGGCGCCAAACATTATTTGACGAGAGCGGCTGTCAAAATCATGACAGCGTTGCTAAGTTACGCCACGCATGCGCGACAGAAATAACATCCTACATCGGCAGAGTCTATTTTTCTCTCTCAACCAAAACAAAAGGAAAATAGGCTCTGCTAGCAGGGAACTATTGTAATAATTATATTTGGAATAATAATGATGATAATCATTGCCTCCATGTTGGTGATATTAAGACTTCTCATGAGCTTCCTTTGGTAATGCCACCAATATAGTTGCCATGTCTTTCTATTCGTATTATCTTTATGCCAATGGACGTAATATTTCATTCTGTAAAATCCTGATCAATGATTTATTTTTCGTAGGCACAATATGACGGCATTGAAGATGTGGCAAAAATCCATTTCCTGCTTCAGATTATTGGAAAGTCTACAATTCCAGAGGTATGGAGTTACTTTATTACATTTAACTTTTTTCCTTGCAAAATCCATAGTTGTCATCATACGCTAAAGGTCTGGTCTCAAGAAAAATAGTTACTCTTGTTTTCCCGAGGGTCTCAATATTTCATGAGGTAAAACCAAGTTCCTCACTCTGTGATTGGTCGAGCAACCATTGAGTATATAGAGGTTATTACACTGCTAGCTGTGTATTACAGCAGGATAATTTTTGAGCCGCTCAAAGAAAAGCAGAAAATTTCCTCACTCTGACAACAGCAAAAAAACTTTTCAAAACTGGTATGTTAATAGCAGGGTTCGTGCTACTCCTTAAACTCCTTGAAAACTCCTTGAATTTAATTCACGTTTTCAAGGGCACTTGAAAAGCTCTTGAATTTTACGATTTTAGCGATACTCCTTGAATTTTTGCTTCGATCATTACTTGCATGGTTCAGAAATAGATCTAGTCAGAAAGATTGGAAAATTTGAAAGTCAGCCATGTGCAACCACTGTGTAAAATCTTGTCATATTTAGCTGAACATACTCCTTGCGAATTTTTAAGTCCTTGTATACTCCTTGAATAGTCCTCGAATTTTAAGTGGTTACCTCAGCATGAACCCTGTAATAGGTACATGTAGCCCAGTATGTGAGATGCACATAGGAAAAGGAGAAAATCATAGATACATTGATACAGTACTCTAGATAACCAGTCTTTTCTGACTACCCTAGGTGCGTCAAATGGCAGCTGTCCTTTTAAGGAGAATATTTGCCACCACAGTGGATTTCATCAAGAAACTGGATGACAATGGTATGATGGCTATGAAAGCAGACTTATTAAGAGGAATCCAAGAAGAACAGAACCCAGCTGTTCGACGGAAGATCTGTGACGCTGCTTCTGAACTCTCCAAGAGTCTTCTAGGTACGCTGTTATAGTAACTAAGGCTTGAAGAATATAACGAATGACGCAGGAAAATCTACTTAAGGAATATATTTATAAAACATGTGTGTATGTCTCCGTGCTGTGATATAAACACACTAGGTGCTGTAGAGCAGGAGTGAAGCAAGCTTAGGAACCATGAGGCATAGCCGGGTATTTCTCTTGCTTCTCAAGTGCTCTACAGTTCCCAGAATGTTTTATCCCAGTACAGAGATATATGCAGCCATTTTATTTTGCTTTCATAAAATATTTTTCAACGATTTTGCAAGAGTGTGTCTTTGTCCTCTGATATAAACAGGGTAGCCAGCCAATCAGTGTACGCATTAATGTTATATATCAAATATTTTATAAATGTGAATAAAGAATTTGTACTAATATAATCTATTTTCAAGATGAGGAAGGCTATAACCATTGGCAGGAACTTCTGAAATTTCTCTTTGAGTGCTGTAATTCTAATAGACCTGAACTCAAGGAATCTGCACTACATATCTTCTGGTACGTTGAGTATTTTTTCAATGACCCCCCAACCCCCTCCCCTCCCCCCAAATTAAATACTGAAAAAACATGAAAAATAAATTTTTAAAATAATTTTTGGGAATGGTTTTGAAGTGAACCTCTGGCTGCAAAGGTATCGTAAAGTTTATAATTTATTCTACTGTTTTTGGCAGCTCATTTCCTGGTGTGTTTGGCAACCAACAAGATCACTATCTGAACGTCATCAAGCAGATGTTATACCAATGTTTAAATGACCAGACTAGTAGAGAGGCAAGTATATGCATGCTGGACATTTTCATTTTACGCCCTCAACATTTAAGCCCCTGGTTTTCGTAAACTGAAACATAACGACTAAGACAATGACAGGTTTCTAACTGTTTGGTTTGGGCCTCTGACAATGAAAACCTTAACTATTTTGACTACATTTATTTCAGAATCTAAAAATGTTGGCTTGTTATTTATGTCGAACAATCAGACTGTATACATTGTACATGTAATAGCTCAAATCCATTAAAAAATTGCCATTTTTTTTTTTTACTATTTTAAAAAATTGAACATAAAATGTAAAATCTTTATATTCTGTAGGTACGGTTTATAGCAGCCAGAGCCCTCTGTGCCTTTATTACAGACCAAGTCGGTGATACAAAACAAAGACAGTTTGCCGAACTTATTCCTGGTATTATAGAGGTTAGTGTTCATTAAAATCATAGTCTGTCAATTTTGGTAGTTGATTTTTGTTGGAAACAATGAATCTAATGTTTATAGCTGTTGTGGTTGTGGTTGTGTTTTGCTGTTGCTGCTGCTGAGCTGCTGCCATTACATTTCCATTTAGAGTTTGCCTTTGCTCAGCTTTATGCTGTAGCCTTGATGGTGTACAAATGTGTTCTTTTCTTCTACAGTATAATGAAATGACTGTGATTAGCTCTTTCTATTGCGGACACTCCCCTATTACAAATACCAAGTGACGGTCCTGATTGTGTCCACTGTGACAAGATTTGACTGCATTCAATTATATTTCAAACACTTTATTTGTAGCAACTTTGTGCTGATGATTACACTACAATTATGTTTCAGGTTGTGCGTGAAAGTGCACAGTCCAACGGTGATGACACAGTGCTCAAGTCTGGTTTAATAGATTTGGCTGAAAACTGTCCTAAACTGTTAAGACCAAGCTTAGAACCACTTATCACACTTTTACTTGAAGTAAGTCTATACTGACCTTACAGTGCATTTGCCTTAGAGTTGAACAGAATTCAGTAAAACCCTTGGTTGTGGGGGAAGAATTCCTTGTTTTTTGGAGAGTAGCACTTAATAGCCAGTGGTTAATTAATCTGTGGCCCTTGTTGGAATTTAGGAGGTTTTTTTTTGGAAGGAGGAAATAGGAAAACAGGAGAACCGGGAGAAAAACACTCGAATCAGAGGAGAGAACAAATAGGAAACTCTACTCACATATGGCACTGAAACAGGCAAGACTCAAACTTGCTTCAATGCACTGGCACAGTTACCTTTCCAGATGGCATAGGGAACTTTGAAGGGCACTATTATGATTACATGTAGATATTTTTGGTTAATTTTTCTTGAGTTTGGGTTATGATTGTGGTAACCTTGGATTGAGTGTCCATTGATTTTTATAGATTATAGCTAAAAGTGAACTGGGTGAAAACTGGCGGCATTTGTCAGTGGAATGTATTGTCACGCTAGCAGAAAGTGGTAAGCATTGCTATTGTTATGATGCATTGGGGTTAATTTACTAAACGTCATTGTTCACATCATGCAACAAACAAACAGACTTCATACACTGAATCAAAATATGGTGACCAATTTGATTAAATATTTTTCTGCAGCCTCTCATACATGTGAACATGCTTCTGTTTTTCCATGTGAACGCAAGCCCAGTCAGTCACTAGCTGGTGCAGAACAAAATAATTATTTAAATTGGTTGCCATATTTTGATTCGGTATATATGATTTGCTTTTACTCTATTTAGTATAGTTTCTTTCGGTAAATTATTTTTTACCCAGTGTTTGAGCTTCATTCTTATTCACTTTCTAATAATAGTTTCGCATGATTTAGCAGTGTTCTTACCAGGCTGCACCATTGCGGGATTCACACATAAAAAAACAGAAATGGGGCACAAATGTCAACTCTATGCACCCCAAAAGGCGCATGAATTATCCGAAGAATACTTCCTGATAGTTTAAAAAAATTTACAGTACTTTTAAAATAATTAAAGTTGCATTATATTGTCAATAAACAAGGTGAAAGTCCAAATGAAACGACACGAATCGAACATAGCCGCCATCTTGTATTTCACTTGTCAAGAGGTCTGGGACTAGTGTAGCCTCAAGTATGGCTGCCCAGCAAACTTTTATTGTTTTGTTGTTACTAATGCTGTAAAACTGCCTTACATTGTTGTAGATTTGCAACAGAGTTACTGGCTACAAAACATTATTATTCTTTGTTTTAAGATTTTGGAAATAGCCCATCCAGTTTTCTAAATGGCCCCTAAATTTCGGGTTGGTGGGCCCTTTGACCCCCTGAAAGAAATTCCTGGTCAGAACACTGATTTAGTTTTCCAGGTCTTCTATAATGTAAAAATAATAAGACTTGAAATTAGAGCTCAGTACATGTATATTGAAAGATATATTTTTTAAACCTTTTCATTTTAGCTCCTGCTATGGTCAGAAAGGTTCAGAAGTTCATCCCATTAATAAGTAAGAATTGTTTTGTTATGTCAAACCAGTTGCATGTTTGTTGATAGTGGTATGGAATGTTAAAAATGAAAAGAATAATAATAAATGAGTTGTTGAAGAGGTGAATAGTGTTTCATCAAGCAAAAATAGAAAATATAGAAAAAAAAATTAGAAAATATAGAAAAAAAAAAAATAGAAAAAAAAGTTCCAAGCTCCATGCAGGATTCGAACCTGTGACCTGCCTGGAGCTTCAAATTATTTTCTGAGAGAAATTTGTCTAATGAAACACAATTTACATACAATAATTTCCCAAGCAACAAAACACTATAATAGACCTATCCCSAATTCRCTTGACTGACCACGAAACAATGGTTTGAAGTCGAGGCTGAACTTGATTCTTTTATTCATTAAGTTCAACCTCGACTTAAAACCATTGTTTCATGACCAGTCAAGCGAATTCAGGATAGGTTTATTTTGAGGTGATTCGAAAAATCTTTTTTCTAATGGATACTCAACTAGTTTCAAGTTCTTTCTCTCAGATTGGACATTGAAATTTGTCCTGCTCTTGACTGTATTTTACTTTGTTAATAGTTCCTCAGCTACTTGCTATGATGGTTGATCTTGAAGACGACCCTGAGTGGAGTAAGTCTGATGAAATTGAAGATGAAGACTATGAAAGGTATCTATTCTTATAGCAGTTTTACTTTTCTTCGAACCTCTAAATATTTTCTAAGCCTGAAAACAACCTCTGGGTTCTAAATCAGGATCTCAGTCATGGCTACCCCACAGATTGAATTCAAGTTTAGCATGTTAGGACACAGGGGGTACCACACAGGAAGGCTACTGTAGATAAGATTTTTATTGTGAGCCAGCATAGCTGCTATAATAGGCGACTACAATAGGCGACTTGCACTAAGAGATCAGGTGATCAAATCTGCCACAGTGGCCGGCATTCTACAAGATTTTAGCTACATGAGAGTGTAAAAAAAAGATAGTGATTCAGATGTTTTTTTTGGTGATAAAAGGTAAGTTAGCAGACTAAATAACAAAAAATCTCCTTTTCTGGCAAGAAATATATTCTTAGGAGTTACCTAAAGTATAGTTTTGCTATTAACTAGCCAAGAAGAAGAAAAAATATGGTATTTTTTGCCCTACGTGAAGACCTACGAAATCTTAGTGCAAGTTGCCTATTGGCATATTTTTATAAATTCTTTTTTGTCTTGTTAGTAATTCAGTGGTAGGAGAGAGTTCTTTGGACAGACTTGCATGTGGACTGGGTGGCAAGACCATTCTGCCTCACATCACAGCTACAATACCTCAGATGTTAAGTAATGGTAAGTATACAATCACTCGGCCTAAACCAAAACATTATTTTTTTATTTCTTAATTTGGGCTTCCTGTGGTAGACTGCAACAGGAACCCCAAATGAAGAAAAACAAATGGCTAAACTGTTGATACACTGATGTTTGAAACTTGAAGAAGACAGCTTGTTGAAAAAGATGATTCTCTTTTGCTCAGCCATAGTCTTGTTTGTGAGTTAAACTACAGCCACTGAACCAAAACCCATGGAATATAGTTCTTTAGTAAAAATACACAGGTGGTTATTGAAAATCTTGCATGCTGATTGGTTGAAGAACTCACACTATCACACGATAATCACCTCCAGCGATAATCCAAAATGGCGGCCAGCCACTTTGTTGCTGTTATCGAAAAAAATGTCTTCAAAAAATGTCTTCTGTAACTTCTTTTTTTGAAAGGATCTGGTATTTATCTGTGTATTTATACCAAAAAAATATTTGCCTCAGCCTCAGTGAATACTGGAGAATAATTACCTTGCCGCTCAAAGAATCGCGTCTTGATAAATATTTCCCGATAATCACTTTGCCATCGGCGAATAATTGTTAAGTAGTATGTACATCATTTACTATACAATGGGGATTTAAAAAAAGAACACATTTGTACACAGTCGAGGCTAAGACTGAGCAAAGGGGAACTCCGGTGGGAGTATTTGAAGGGCTGCATTGTAATTAATGTTAATTTATTATTGCTAATAGGGGACTGGAGGTATCGTCATGCTGGTTTGATGGCCATCTCTGCTGTTGGTGAAGGGTGTCAGAAGCAAATGGAGATCCTTCTAATGGATGTTACTAATGTTGTACTGCCGTTCCTGAATGATTCTCATCCACGTGTGCGATATGCTTGTTGTAATGCTATTGGTCAGATGTCCACTGATTTTGCTAATGGATTCCAGAGAAAGTTCCACATGAAGGTGAGACATGTATAGCTTTAAGCAATCAGTTAATCTTTTGGCAAATAACTTCAGTCATTTAGTCTACCTGTTCATCAATCAGTCTGTCCAACCATCTGTCAGTCATTCAGCCAATCAATAGCTCCTTTCACAGTTCCCAGCAAGAACTACAGTGTGAACGGAATGAAATGTCAGTCAATAGAAAATGGTGAACATGACAATGACCAGGCAGTGACCTTGCAATGATAGAGACATTCCTACATGTAGATTGGACGATTTTTCACATATCTCTATCCTTGCATGGTCACCACCATTCTCACTTCAATGCACAGCCTCAGTGACAGTTGCCAACTCAGCATTCATAAATTTGTGGCCTTCTATGTTTATACTCTCTAAGTAAGATGGGGCCGCCATTTTACGTGGACATCTGAGCCATTCTCATAGTGGTATTAAAATAACACTTAGATGCATATAGACTATGGAGACAATATTCCCCCACCTTCTCCTCCCTTCTAGCAATTTGTCATGGTAGTTTTTTTGGGGGGGAGGGGGCAGGGGTGGTGCTAATTAACCATGCCACATTTCAGCTCTGCTGATGCAATAGTTTGAAATTTTTTAAATTTAAAACCAGGTTATACCAGGTCTATTACATGTCATGGATGACTTCAACAACCCTCGTGTCCAGGCCCATGCAGGAGCAGCATTGGTGAACTTCTGTGAGGACTGCCCCAAACAGATTCTAATACCATACCTTGATAGTATCCTAAGCAAGCTGGAATTGGTGCTGTCTTCAAAACTCAGAGAGGTATATTATGCAGGATGTATACAAAATCTCAACTCAAAACCCTGCCAGTCCTTCATTTCTACAATGTAAACGATAGAGGTTTTGCACGATCAAGTGCCCATGCCCATAATAAAGCTTGGGCTGCCTATGGTTAAATGGCAGAATGATAAAATAATGTAAAATAATCGTATTGTTCCTGCAATCTAACATGGCTGCCATCACATGATGGAGCAAAACCTCTATTCAAATTTGAGCATGCACATTACATGCAGCTAGCTAGTACCCAGGCTCTCCCTTTTTCCACAGGTAGCCCAATAATAAACTTAAACCAATTGACTCTACTTGTTGTTTAAACAGCTTCTAGAACGTGGTACCAAACTAGTAATGGAGCAGGTAGTGACAACTATCGCTACTGTTGCTAATACCGTAGAGGAGAAGTTTGCACCTTACTACGACAGGTTCATGCCAAGCCTTAAGTATATCGTACAGAACGCCAACACACTGGACTACAGATTACTGAGAGGAAAGACTATAGAGTGCATCAGTTTTATTGGATTGGCCGTTGGCAAAGAAAAGGTAAGACATTATTGGCTTAGAATTGTTCTCTTTGGTGAGGTAAATCTATTACATAAACTTTGACTGTTGTATCACAGCATGGGACAATCACAACAGAGCTAGGCTTCAAACTAAGTGAAAGCCCAAATATAAAATTACAATTTATAAGTTGATTTTTGAGGAAATATGGTTTTATCCTGAACATTTGGTAGCCAGTATAGCTCCAATTCGAGATTGCTACAGTCCTTGTTTGGGATGGGTATGTTTGACCTGTCATGTTCCGAGTCATTACGATCCACCATAATTTCGAATGAATGGCTGGACCAGACATTCAAGGGAAAACCTTGGAATATCTATTTGTCATTCTATTCTAATTCTTCCTACCACACTGCTGAATGATCTTGTCCTTTATGCCATCATCAAGACTCCTTGTCTTTATTCACCATCCTTTAGTTAGTTTCTGTGCATATCTTGCCCTATTCACCTACTACTCCCTAGAGTCAAGGGAGAGGTCTAACAAACTCTACTCCCATCCAGCTGAGCTGAGCTTCAAAACAAACTCAAGGTCAACCAATCAGAATCGAGGATTCAACATCATATTTTGATGAGCATTTCCCATGATTCTGTCAAGAGAACCCATGAAATATGATTCTCCATTTTTTAAATCTATCGTAAATGCTACCAGTTGAACTCATGGTGGAATTGTAGTTCATTCAACACGATAAATCTGCTTTGAACTCAGCCTCTGCTAAAAAAATGGAAACCGAGTCCTCAGAAGTGAGAGGCAAGTGTGCTTCTGCTACGTTGCCCTCGATTAAGTTAAGATTGATGACTTAGGAATGTTCTGCAAGGTTTAGACTGCGAGAAGTCCCTCCATTTCCCATGGTCACTGTCCGTCTGTCTGTCCGTGTCCATTGGCCGAGGAAGATTGGTTACGAGTCAAAAGTTTTTATTCTTTAAAACCATTAGAATTTTAATTTTTAAAAACATTTTTGGAGCGTTTGGAAGTTCTGAGCAAAATGCGAACGAAGTTATGGCAAAATTAGACATTTATATGTAATTTTTCTCCGAGGCTTATGTAGCCTCGTTTTGGTGTTTTCTTATTGTTTTAAATTCTTATAACTTCCTAAGGATTTGATCTTTTTCTTTCAAACTTTAATAATGCATTATTAACACTAATATTAATTATTGGATAGCTTATTTTTGCCAAAATGATGAATTTATCGATGATATGTTAATTAGTGGCGGCCATTTATGAAATTGGTGTATAAATTTGAGAGAATCCTTTTCGTATTCAAGCAGTGAGCGCCAAAAACCATTTTCTTGAAGAAAGGCTGTTGTACAAGGCTAAAATCTTGTTATTCARAAAGTTTAACTTGTTTGGAAGTGGAGATGACCGATGAAAGTGGAATCATAGTGTTAAACCAAAGCAAAAATTTGAATCGAAAATGAGGTTTAGGCCTTCATTGCTTATTTCCCATCATATATTTTCTATAAAAAAGCCTGACAAAGCAACATTCTAACACAAATGCAACAAAACATCTTTGTACAACTGAAAATACTGCTTCAAACAAGCATTTTATCATAGTACATCAGTTTATAAGTGTTTAAAAAAGGTTTTTGAGTGTTAACCCAAAACGAAAATTGGGATCAAAACTCTCATACGAAAGTCTAGTTTTTGGCGCTTTTCGCCATTATTGCCCATTATCACACCTTTTGCCAAAGGAGCTTATTGAATAGAGCGCTCACACTAAATCCGTGAAACAAATACTAATTTTTAGCACTAAATAGTGATAACTAAACAATAGAAAACAAAGGATTCTGTATGAAATAGTACTAATTAGTACTATTTAATGTTCACGGTTTTAGTGCGTGCACTCTATATGCGATTGAAATAATATTTCTTTGTTCCTCTAAAAATTCGAACACAAACTCTTAGTGTATATTGCACTTCCGACTTCTGGAGAGGTGATGACTCATATACTTGACATTTGAAAACAATTTAAACTCGGGTACTCCTTAAGCTGAAAGGCTGAACATTTATCTTTTCAAAACGTTTCAGTTATTTCAGTTAATTTTTTTTTGTATGTGGAAGGGGGTGAATTTAATCTAAATAATCTTTTATATTCCGTTGGCAGTTTTCAAAAACAGAAATGAAAAAATCTTTACTGTGCGGAAACTTGAACCATAAGGCTTTAAGGCTTTTTTTAAAGGGTCACTTGGATGTAAACGCCGCTATTTTTGAAAGTTCGAATAATTGAAGTATTTGAGGATAATATGACTCGATTATAATTATGAAAATCAGATCACAGGTAGCCCAAGCTTGGTTTCTGTGGTGTAAAGTTATAAGGAAATGTATGGGGATTCATCAAAATTATCCTGGTTGGGAAAAAAAATCTTAAAACGAGCTAAATTCGAAAAATAACCACGCAGAGCGAAAGAAGTGCTATTTCTCAATGATCGGGTAAAATGTCTAGGCTTTTTTTCATGTTTTGATGATTTTATAGAAATTTTTCATTTATTTTTCCCCCACCACTTTTGACTGTGAAGGAAACATGTTGCTTGGCTACTTTCTGGGCCATATAGATAAGTTCAACCAAGTTTCAAGTCATTTCCAATTTTCATTGATTTTCATTCAAGTGCCCTTTTAACATTTTTCGAATCATGCAATCACAAGCCAGATTAATCAGTGTTAGATTGTAAAATCTCGTAAAATCCTGAATTTGGAATATCTAAAAATCACAATAAATTCAGCTTTTGCGATATCTGTTTCTTTCTTACAACGTCAATAATCTTAGTGTGAGGGAGAATACATATGACAGATGGGCCGCACCATTGTCGTATAAAAGAACATCAACGACAAACTAAGAACGGGCAATATTATATATCCGCCGTTGCCAACAACACTCACGACAACCCTGATCATAACATCCACTTTAATACAGTTGAAGTTCTCGCCAAGACCTCCAAAAACTTCCCTTGACTCATCCATCGATACCTTCAAACGACCTAGTTATTTCAACAGAGAAGATTCCTACCGCCTTAGTTCTACCTGGACCAGAGTTATCAAGAACACTGGTGACTCTGACCGCCTTTGTCGTGACAACCCCCCCAGAGAACAATGGACGTGTCACTCATTCATCGCTTTTAAAATTGCCTCTTCCCACGCTTTGTTTCCATATACGCGCTTCACACATTTTCACCATCATTCTGATGAAGGCTATCACTAGTTATAGCCGAAACGTCATGTTTTTTATCCGTGATGTTACATTTAATTGATCATGTATTCTCTACTTTCACATCCCCATAATGCCTTGCGTCTTTGAGGGGTAACCAATCAAAAAACTGCCCCAAATTGAAAGGTTTCTTAATTAAATTTATACTATACCTGCTTTTATCTGTACAATACTGATTATCAGTTTATTCCAAGTTATTTTTGCGTGTACAGATCATGAAGAGTTTTGGCCTTACAGAAAATGTATTGACTTACGAAAAAATGTTTAAAATTTACCTTAAACGACTTCAAGCTTCTATCTTTTTCTGTTTTTTACTTCTTCATTTTATTTTTGGATACCAAACAAGGTATTGTCAACATTGTCTGATCAGCCTTCAGCAAAATAAGTGGGTTTTTACCCTCTCTGGTTACCCCCCAAAGACGCAAAGTATTTTGGGGATGTGAAAGTAGAAAATGTAGCCTCAAGGATACTTTTGTAAATTGATTTAACTGCTGGAGAGGTGATAACTCAATCTCTTTAACACTTCATAAACCACTTTAAACTGAGCCGGAAGCTCTTCTTGATAATAAGGTGGAAGGAAGAAATAAATACTATACATATTTCTTTCATATTTTCGTTTTTCGTTTTTGGAAGGCCGGGGTGTGAATTTAGTGAAATTTCATATACCGTAGGTAGCTTCCAGATTCAAAAATATAATAATCGTTAATTGGAAAATTTGCTTTATTTTTGCTAATTGAAGACTGAATTGTGATATATTTGCAAAACAGCAATGTTATATTATTGTAAACGCATATCCTTTTTCTTTGTTCTCGAGTGCTCTTTTAGTCTTAAGCAGAGCAGATGTGAACTCACTCGCCTGAGGATTCAAGATACGATCATTCAGGCTAGTTACTTTTTGCCCTTTATCGCAAGAGAAGTCGAGAAGATTTTCTGAATCATTCTGAAAGATGAAAAACAACCCTCTTTACTGCCCTGGTTTTTTGTATAAGGATCTTAATGAGCGTAACCATATTTCCACGACTGACATGGTATTGAGTTGTGTTTATACAGCATTAGCCTTTCCAACATTTTTCCTTAATGCTTTGACGCTTGTCGCTGTTGTAAAGACGCAAAGACTCCATCGGCCATCGTACTGCCTTCTCGGAAGCCTAATGGTAACTGACTGCATCGTTGGAGCGATTGTCGATCCTCTTATGGCTTTGAAACACTTCTCTGAAGCTTATAATAACATCGACATCGGTTGTGTTTTGTATAAACCGAGTTTGGGTATCATGAACTTCGCTGGAGCGGTTTCCTTGGTGACAATCACAGTTATAAGCATCGATCGATTTCTCGCGATAAGCTTTAAATTTTCCTATCGTGAGATAGTCACCACTCACCGCATCATCAGGATAATTGCTGGGATTTGGTCGGCTCTGTCGGCTCCCTCCTCGTTTTCTATTTTTGCAAGCCTAACGTGCGGACGTGGGGCCTTTCAAGTAGCGTAGCAGGGATCATTTGTTTGGGAATCGTTTTTGTCTCTTACTACAAGGCTTATAGAGGCCTTGTAAACCATAGTGCTGTACGGGTATGGCCCACGTGTCATAGCAACACTGCCCCGCCTCTTGGCAACCCTGGATTGCATGTAAACACGAATGGTAACCATTTTACAAGCACAGAGAACAAGCTTGACATGCATCTTGGCAACCCTGGTATGGATGTAAACACACCTGGTAAACATTTTACAAGCACAGACAACAATCTTGACATGCATCTTGGCAACCCTGGTATCCATGTAAACACGCCTGGTAACCATTTTACAAGCACAGACAACAATCTTTACACGCATCTTGTCAATCCTGGTATGCATTCTAGCAACCATGGGTTGTCCTTTAACATCCCAAGTTTCCATGACAACACGATTAATGTCACAAACAACCCAGTAAAAATGACTATTTATATCCAGAAATATCGACGAGTTTTGGTCAACATGTTTCTCTGCGTTTGCCTTCTTCTTATTTGCTATATTCCTTATTTTTCAACTTCTCAGTTGTTAAAAACATCGAGTCCTCAGCGACCAGATGTCTATCAAAGCTTTTCCTTCTCGGTTTGCTTGATGCTGCTCAATTCCTTTCTCAACCCAGTGCTGTACTTGATTCGATTTAAAGACATCAGACAAGCGTGTATCAGACTGTTGAATCGTCACAGGTGTTTTCGAACATGCTGCTAGTAACAGCAAGCCGGCAATTTTTCAATAGAATTCCTTTCTGACTGACAGCACGTGTGTAAATTAAAAGCAATCTCGTACCCAGATCCTGCGTTTCTTCTGGCCTGCGGCGAAGAACGAGGGCTCTGGCATAATCCATTTTTTGAGACCAGGATTTTTTGGACTTCCGGTATAACAGCGCACGCGTTTAAAGACTTGGCAATAATTAAAAAATATTTTCCCCCCCGATTTTCAATTTTTACTGTGATTTTTACTTTGATTTTGACTTTGATCGGTTATATCTAACTTTGCGAAAATTGCGCATGCGGCAAAATATGGATTATGCCAGAGCTATCGTTCTTCGCCGCAGGCCAGGAGAAACTCTGGGTACGAGACCGAAGTAAAAGGAAATAAAAAAGTCGAAGTGAAAGAAAAGACTCGTAAAATCAGCAAATGAGACAATGATAATGAGATTCAAAGACTCACATAATAAGCTCAGATAATGAGATTCAAAAACTTTTATTAACTAATTGTAATCTTTGTTATTTATGTATAATTTATTCACGCAATAAAGATATTGACTTGAAGTTTTATTTCTTTGTTCTTTATTTTTTATTTATTATTTATCTGCTTTTGTTTTGTTACTCGGTCTACCTGTGTCAAAAATTGCGCAATGTTCTTCCCATAGAGCTTCGTGCTTTTAGGTAGTAGGGGAGTAAGGACAATCTTTGGTTTTTCTTTATTCATTTAAGAGAGTCGCTGAGTATGGGTTCTTTAGCTTTATAAACTCATCTTTGGATAGCTCGGTCTTTCTCGAATTAGTAAATGTAGGACTTCCAAAATTGAATGAGGCCGTAGGCTGAGTCCAATTTGGCAGTCAGAGGAATTTTTCGAGTCTAATTATTTCTTAATTGGGGAGCATGAAATCCCATTACCTATTAATTATATAGCTGCCTAATTAATCCCATATCAACAAGAGCTGTCCAATTAAGAAAATAATTGGACAGTTACCTATATGGGATTAATGAGAAGCTGTATAATTAGTCTTTAAATCCAAAATTCAAAATCTATTCCATGGTTATGGACAAATGTTTCAGCAGACGTGCACATTTTTATGCTTTTGGGGAAAATTAAGATTTTCTTGCAAACGTTCGGTCCAAAGACGTTTGGAATACGTGCTGTAACGCATGCACGCTCAAAGGAGGTACTAGAGCTGTTGAGTTTGCCATCCTTCATATTAAAAAGGACTCTTGTCATTCAAAGAATTTCCAAATTTTTTTCTGTCATATTGGTCATATCTGAAGAGAGATTGGTGTCAAGGTTTCTCTTCATTCTTAAAAGCTAACTATGATTCATTAGTCGAGATGCAAATTGTTTATATGAATGTAGCAGCCATGTTTGACAGGATCCAAAGTTAAAATAGAGGACGTACTTGCTAAGCCAATATGTCAACTATAACTAAAACCTTTAAAAAGTTTATTATGAAATCGCATCGCGAGGGCCAATCTGTTTTTATATCATCATTGGTAAAAAAGACGTTTTTAGCTTGGTGTCTAATATTTTTCCATTTCAGACCACGTTTCATTTTCTTGAGAATAAGATTCAACTTTTGTTTTAATTTATCCAAATTCATGTGTCTTTTCTTGCACAACTGTTAAACAAAGAAAAGATACTCTAGAGAATGACATGTGGTCTGAAATGGGAAACCATTACACTCAAGTTAAAGAGGTCCATTAGTAAGCAGTTAATTCGACTATAATTTTTTGATTTTTTTTATATTGAAACCAGTTCTTACCAGATGCTAGTGAGATTATGCAGATCCTCCTCAAGACCCAGACAGACATAGACCAGCTAGAAGCAGACGATCCTCAGGTGTCCTACATGATATCTGCCTGGGCCAGGATGTGTAAGATTATGGGCAAAGAATTTACTCAGTACATGCCTCTGGTGATGCCACCATTGATGAAAGTGGCCAGTATCAAGCCTGAGGTGGCTATTATAGATGGTAGGTATGATTATTATGATGTGACGATGGTGATATGGGGTGATAGTGGGTGTGAGGATGATGATGATGGTGATGATGATGATAATGATGGGATGGTGATGATGATGATGATGATGGGATGGGGGTGATGATGATGAGGATGGGGATGATGATGATGATGATGGTGGTGATGATGATGATGATGATGGGGATGATGATAATGGTGATGATGATGGTGATGGATGATGATGGATTGTGATGGAGATGATGGTGTTAATGATAATGATGATGAAAGTCTCTGGTGGTACAGGATGATTATGGTTGATAATGATAAGTCAAGATGATTTTGATATGATGGTTGTATTCAAACATGAGGGTGGTTGTTGTGTTGGTGATATTGAATAATATTTCAGGATGATGATGATGATGAGGATGTTGGCATTTAATTTAAAGTTTATGGACTTCATTTTTTTACCCCCAGCTGATGACCCAAAGAGTAATCAGTACAGCGAGGATGAAGGCTGGCAACTTATTTCTCTTGGAGACCAGGTGAATATGTCAAATTTACCTTAAACTCAAATCATAGTCACGTGCTAATTTCTTGAGAATCATTTAAATAAAAAATGTATGTCCCCTTCCCAACATGATTTTTTTTCCGTGGCCCCTCATTGAAACAATATATATATCTTTAGATCTTCAAATTTTCAAATTATATTTGGGGTGCCATCCTATAAATGTCATATCGTTACTCCCCCCTAAATCCCTCCAGCCGTCCCCCCCCCCCAATACCCGTAAAAATGGACAGTCCCTAATCGTATCAATTATCTTTCCCCCCAGCAAAAATTCGGTATCAATACAGTGGGTCTGGAGGAGAAGAGCACAGCCTGTCAGATGCTGGTTTTATACGCTAAAGAACTCAAAGAAGGCTTTGCACCATACGCAGAGGAAGTCGTCCAACTCATGATCCCTTTATTGAAGTTCTACTTCCACGAGCTCGTGCGGTCAGCAGCTGCAGAATCTCTGCCTTATCTTCTTGAGTGTTCTAAGTTCAAGGGGGATGCAGCTGTACGACAGATGTGGGCGTACGTATGCACTGATCTACTGAAGGCGATACGAACAGAACCCGACGCTGATATACAGATAATTTTCCTGGAGAATTTCGCCAAGTGTGTTGAGACTCTGGGCAATGGATGTTTGACAGTGGAGTTTTATAACTTACTGGCTGAAGTGATACATGAGATTCTAAATGCACACAAGGAAAGACAGATGGAGAGACAAAGTATGACAATGTTTATTCACTCTTTTTTCTATTCATTTCTGTGGCTTGGTAAACATTGGTTTATGCTTGTATTCTTTTCTTCCTTCCTTCCTCCCTCCCTCCCTCCCTCCCTCCTTCCTTCCTTCCTTCCTTCCTTCCTTC